GTTTTAAAAACCTTGAGGGGAAGTCCGAAAGGGAAAGTCCAAAGAGGACAATATCTGCTAACGGTGGACTTGGGCCGTTACAAATGGGCGGTTACAAATGGTATCAAAGCCAGACATCAGACAATGTGCCAGTGAGGAGGCTGAGCCCCAAAGGAGGTGGACACGAGGCGGTGTACCAGCAAGGATGTTGGGCTCCGAAGGGGGTAGATTTGGGGGGTCCCACATCGACTGGAGAAGGGAACAAGTGCTAGCAAGAATGCTGGCCCCAAAGGGGGTGGATTGTGAGATGCCATATCGGTTGGGAGGAGAACGAAATATTTTTTATAAGGGTGTGGAAACCTCTCCCTAGCAGACACGTTTTAAAAACCTTGAGAGGAAGCTCGAAAGAGAAAGTCCAAAGAGGACAATATCTGCCAGTGGTGGGCTTCGTTACAAAATCCCTCTTAGCTGCAGGATGTATCTATTTTGAAATTCCTGAAACAAGGTCATTCCTGGCCCAGCAAATAACTATAGTTGGAGATGCAAAAATAATCACACAGATCACATCAATCAGAAGCAAAGAAGATTAAGAACAACATCTCCACATCGCTAAGAGTGCAAGACTTTTTAGCACCCAAACGTAAAACCAAGCGAGCTTGGCTTAGACCAAAGAAAATATCATACTGTACTCAAGACAGACATGATGGTACTTATAGTACCCGGACACAGAAGTTCTTGCACTATGAAATCACACAATGCGATTAAAAGACATCAAAACATATCATTACCATAAATCAAACTAACTCTACAAAATCTCCAACACGAAAAAACACACTATCACAAATCAGTCGATCAACTCAAATCCAGCTCAATCAAGCCAGTGGGTGCGACCGACTTCCTTGCCTTCAAAATCAAATTCAGTGCTATGAAGTCTTGCAGAATAGAAACACCTCGTGTTCAAACTCTTCTAATATCATTTTCTTCCAATTGGAGTTTGAACGAATCTCCAAACCAGAAGAGTGCGAATTTTACAGCAACGATAAAGTATTTATTGTGGAATTAGTGTGCTTAGACTACTAAGAGGAGGGAATCAATATGATCAACAAAACAAAACAAAACAAAAGCTAGATTTTAGATGAAGAGAGTATACAATGATAATGGCAGTGATGGATTCATTAACCCAACGATTTTCTTCGAGCAAATGGCCAATAACCAAGCATAAACAGAGAACAGCAACGAACAACGTCAAGGGGACGACCGGGGCGTGGTCGCTGCCGATGTTCTTGACAGTGTCGAGCACTCCCATTTCTCTCTCGTCACTTCAAATCTCCCGCAACACCGTTTTCCCTGTACACAAAAGCATTAACATCAACTGAGAGAGATTTTGCCCGCGCAATGGAGCAGAGTTCGTTAGGGAAACGTGGACTGACACGTGGAAATAGATTAATACAGAGCTTCACACGTGTTTTGTCCCCGACAATCCCAACGGACACGATAAAAAAAAATATTAAAAATTGTTTTAAAAACATTATCCGATAATACTTTTTTTTTTACCATTTTTATATGACTTTTTATTAAATTTATTTTATTAATTTTTTTTTAGGTATTACCTCAGTTAATTTTTGCGTCATCTTAGATATTAAACTTTTATAAAAATTTATAATTTTTAAAATTTTCTATTAAATTTTATAATATTATATTCTCAAATGAATTTAAATAATCATTATTTTTAAATAGGACTAAATATACTAAATGGTCCCCACTTAAAGTAGATTTGTTGCTGTGACTATATAATATCATGTTTAGAATTAATAAAATAGCATTTGAGATTGGGGCGACATATTGGTGAGAGTCTCTGTAGTGTGATAGTGAGGTATTCACTTGTAACACTTTGTTTATTAGTGATTGATTGCTACCTGTGGATGTAGGGGAATTTCTTCTCTCTGAACACGTAAATATCTTGGTGTCTCTTTGTGTAATTCCGTTCATTGGTGTTCTGAGTATATTTGTTCCGCTTTTGGCGCACAACAGATACCACCACTTATTAGGCTTGACGAACGATCCACGTCTTCTTCCTCGAGAATTTTGTTTGCTCGACTGCCTTTATATATAACTATCTACTTCATCGTTAATTTTTTAAAAATTTAAATTTTACTATTAAATTGTTGCATAAAAAATTCTTTAGTTGATATCGGTTGAATTAATACTTTGCTGACGTGGACCAATCACATTTCATAGTTTACATTTTTTAAGAAAATGCCACGTCATAATGCCATTTCCTTATTCCCAACAAAATTCACATTAATTATTTTTTTTAAATGATTTGATTATTTTTAATGAAAATTTGCTTAAAAAGTTATTTGACTTTGACCATAGCTTTCACTTCCAAAAATATTTTTCATTTAATATTTCCCTCAATTATTAATATTGTAATGGCAAGATTGAAGAGTGGTGCAGGTTCTAAAATTTAAAGGGCATTTTGGTATTTTCTTATCCATAAATGACACGACATTAACATGGGAAGGTCAATGCCTCGATAGAACCCAACTGGGTGGATATCCGAGATGTCTCAATGTTATGAATGACACGTGGGTCTGTTCTCGATAACATAACCGAGCGAGTTGGGATGGCTTATGACACCCTGTGACTTGGAATGACATCAAGACATATGGACCATGTTAATTGTGAACCAAGATGAGACGATGTATTGGGCCGTTACACAATGATAATTCTAATTGGTCAGATTGTTGTTATATCCGTCACAAAAATTGAAACTAATTCAAATAAAAATAACTAAATACTTACGGTTTTTTTTATGGGATCAAAGAGGAAAAATTTAAATTGACGATCTCGTGACCTCGACAGCAAGCACCATTACCCACCCTATATGCCATTAATTTGAAAAACGTTGAGCGTTTAAAAATACCCAGTAAGTGATTATATTGTTGGAGTCGAGAAACGCATACATATGGTCCCGTGCACATCGAACGCACTAGGTGAATTTCACAAGTTTGTGAACCAAAATCAAACTGAAGAAAAAACCATTATACCAGACATACTCGAAGAAAAATTAACTTAGACAGAAGAAACCTAACGAGTCGAGTTGAAACTAGAGGAAATCCATTAACCAAACTCGAGTCGATGGAAACCGTTGAACGGAACCCGAACCAGAGAAAAATTGTTTCAAAAGTAAATGCAATTTAATACCTTTCTAAATCCTCTTAAAAAATAACAGATTTTCTTTTAATTTCATACCAACTAATTTTAAGAATGTAAAACATTATTTCTTGTTCTTTTATTTTTATTGAAAAAGGAAAAATATTTGGATAAATATTGACAAGATATCAATTTTAAAATTGGGTGTAATATTTTAATTTAATTCCCTAATTTGAAAATTTACAGATTATTTCAAAAAAACTTAATAAAAATTCCTATTTTAATTTATTTTGTTTTATTATCTAATAAATTAGGGATTTTTTTTTTTTTAAAAACTAATTCAAAAGTTAGGATAAGTTAGGTTTGATGGCCCGAACAACTCGAATAGAGTTCAAAACTAAATCGAATAGAACTCTCTATTTTGGGTTTGGGTTCTCAAATTATTTTTATTTTTATTATTATTATTGTTTAATAAGAATCATATACCTTACATTAATAACTAAAATTTCATAAAGTTCCAATATCAAAGTCATAATGCATCACTAACCTTAGTTACCAACATTAAATATATTTTAATCTTTGTAATAATGTTAAAGGTAGGGGCAGAGTGGTTGTGATGTCCCATATTGGTTGGAGAGGAGAACAAACCACCAAGGGTGTGGAAACCTTCCCCTAGTAGACGCGTTTTAAAGCCTTGAGGGGAAGCACGGAAGGAAAGCCGAAAGAGGACAATATCTGCTAGCGGTGGATCTGAGCTGTTACAAATGGTATTAGAGCCAGACACCGGACGATGTGCCAGCCTTCTTGCTGTGCCCCAAAGGGAGGTAGACACGAGACGGTGTGCCAGTAAGGACGCTGGGCCCCAAAGGGGGGTGAATTTAGGGGCGTTCCCATATCGATTGGAGGAAGGAAAGAGTGCCAGCGAGAACGCTGAGCCTGAAGAGGGGTGGATTGTGATGTCCCACGTTGGTTGGGGAGGAAACAACCATTTATAAGCGTGTGAAAACCTTCCCCTAGTAGACAGATTTTAAAGTCTTGAGGGAAAATAATAATTATATGCTTAATTTTTTTTTTTAAAAAAAAATATTTATCCAACGGAACAAAATAATTACATAAGCACTTGAATCCATGCAGTCAAAACCTACCTAAATTAGCATAAAGTCCCTCCAAATGAAAAAAAATACCCAAAAATGGTAAGTTAAATTAAAATGGATAAAATTTTACATTTTAATTCTTTATATTTAAAAGTAAAAATTAATATTAATAAAAAAATATACGACTTCAAGCTCTGATATCATATTAAATGAAAATACACGACCTTACGACTTATTGGGGTTAAAATTTAAATTTGATTTGTTGAAGACCTTATAAGAAAATAAAATTTTGAAACAAAAAAGAAAAAGTTATTATTGTTTATCAAATTTTTTTTTTTTAATTTCCAAAATTAAAATGGAGATACGATGGCTGAGTTGTACCTGTTGGGACCCACTACGAATGCAAACAAAAGCGCGGTTTCAACTGACTCCATGTATGGAACCAATCATTGCTGGCCACGTAATCATTTGCCAATTTATTTATGCTCAATTCTTGGTCCCCACTTTCCAGCTGTCCCCACGTCACCACAATTTTTTGCCACTCTGGCACAGCATTTTTTTTAATTAAAAAGAATTAGTTTTATACGTTTTTGGCTGGGATACATTTATTGGAAACGGCTTAGCTTGAGCCGAGCCGGGTAGAATCAAGCCGACTTGATTGATGTGTGTACGTGGCAACTATCAATCAAAAAACATGCACCGACTTCCATTAATTTTAAATAATATGTATTTTTTAAAAAATTATTAAATTATTACCAAAAATATAAACCGCCACCTTCAAAAAGCTCCCCTGCAAATACTTCCCCCGCTAAATTTGATCTTAGCTATTTGTTCTTCCGGTCAACAGCTGTCAATTTTCCGGCGGAGGCGCACTGAATTTCTCCTTCTCTCCATGAGTTGCTGGAGGAATTTTCCGGCAATGTGTTCCTCTTCTCGCACTTTCCTTTTGCTGTTTCCTCTGCTTCTTCACTCGTTCGTGGCGCTGGTCTCTGCTCAGGGTTCTAATAATACCTCTCCATGGCAGACTCTGAGTGGTGAGTGTAATGTTCGGATTAATCTCTATGATTTTAGTTATCTCGTTGTCTTTTTTGTTTTTGCTTTGTGAATCGTTGGGAGGTAGAAGGTTAATTTACTTTTTGTGTTGGAAGAAGTTGAAAATGAAGTCGGAAGTCGGAAGTCGGAAATGGATTGGTGAAGTTGATTATAACTCGATTAGCATTTTGTAAATAACTTCGAATTTGAATCGGAGGATTTCAATGCACGCGTGTAGGTATCGGAGTTTGAATTTGCGTTTGGCTTTGGTTGTGCAGGAAATCCTCCATTCGTTGTGGCTCGCGGTGGATTTTCAGGGCTTTTTCCTGATTCGAGCGGAATCGCCTACAATTTTACACTGATGGTTAGTGTACCTGATGTGATCTTATGGTGTGATGTGCAATTAACTAAAGATGAAGTCGGAATTTGTCTCCCGGATCTGAGGCTCAACAATGCTACTAACAGTGCGAATGTTCTGGCGAAAAACCGCAGCAGTGTCTATGTTGTTAATGGAGTTCATACGGAAGGATTGTTCACAGTCGATTTCAATTCTAAAGATCTGGAAAATGTTACTCGTAAGTTCAATGTTCTCATTTATTGTAACCTGAAATACTATCTGATTTCTTCTATTACAATGAATGAGCACAGGTTATTCATAACCAAGGTCATTTTCAGATGATCAATGCTTGCAGAAAACTTCCACATTGAACTAAGCCCTAACGATTAATTAACGTTTTTTTCTTAATTTTCTAAAATTTTCAACAAGTTAATCCGCTCTTAACTGCGCTAATGAGCAATTTCCTGGGCAGTTACTCAAGGAATCTACTCTCGACCTGACAATTTTGATGGCAATGGTTTTGCTATTCTCGGTCCTGAAGACGTGTATGAGCAGTTGCAACCACCAGGACTTTGGCTGAATATTCAGGTAATTCTATTGAATTCAATGTTCATCCTTTTCTGCATAGTCTTCACCGATCCCCTTTACTTTTTTCATCGCAGCATGATGCATTCTACACTCAACGAAACTTGAGCATGAGGAACTTCGTACTTTCTGTAACGAAACGCATCACTGTTAACTACATATCATCACCAGAGGTGGGATTTCTTAAAAGCATATCTTCAAGAATCAATCCCCACAAAACGAAGTTGATCCTTCGGGCATTAGGACCAGATACTATTGAGGTTACCACCAATCAAACATACGCCTCTCTCCTACGCAACCTCACTTTTATCAAGACATTTGCCTCTGGAATTCTTGTTCCCAAGACCTATATACGGCCCATTGATGGCGATGGCTACCTACAACCTGAAACCTCTCTTGTTTCTGATGCTCATAAAGCAGAGCTGGAAGTTTTTGCTTCAGAGTTCTATAATGACCTTCCACTGAGCTACAACTACAGCTATGATCCTATTACCGAGTACCTGTCGTACTTCGACGGTGGCAGATTTTCAGTTGATGGTGTGCTCACTGATTTCCCTATTAGTCCATCCGCAGCTATTGGTAAGTCATCACATTTCAGCTCGTATATATGATCTCCATTTGGTCCATCCCTCCCCAACTTATGGTATTTTAAAATTCAGCCCCTAGATGTTTCAAAAAGGCACAAATCACCACTTTACTAGAAACAAACCATCCCGTTACCACTGTTATAATTAGGGTGTTAAAAAAAATTTGATGACCCAAAAATTCTGATCAACTGAACCCAAACTTTATGAACTTATTTGGTTCATAGTTTCCTCAAATTAGATTGATTTGAATTAACCCAAATTTATTATTATTTTTAACACGAAAATAAATATATTTATTTTATTTTATTTCTTAATTATTTAATATCCAAACAATTCTAACAAATAAATGTTTAAAAATAAATAAATAGATAAACAAATATTTTACCAGCTAATATTTTTCTTTTAAAATAAAATTTCAATAAATAACTGAAACTAACCCAAATAAAAAATTTTATGGTTGGGTTGGGTTGGTTCATTATTTAATTAGAGTTATTTGATTTAAAAAAAATTTATAACTCAAACAATTGAATTGGGTCTAAAAAAAATGTCTAACTCGACCCAACCCATCATATCATAGTTATAATTTACTCCAATTTTTTTAAAAAAATTAGAGTTATTTAGTTTTCTAATTGTAATAATCTTAATCCAAGAGTTTTATTAGGATAACAAATATAGCTCTGGGATAGCTAGTGTGCACTTTGTAAATTTGCAGGGTTTAATTGCAATACAATAAGTTTAGAGGGTTAATTGATTGAATTGAAATTTCGAGAGCTTGTTACAATAGGATAATTTTATTTTTATTTTCTTTTGGAGATTTTCCATTACATTTATTTAATTTATATCATGAATGCTGATTAATTTAATCATATATATATATATATATAATGGTATTCTTAAATGTCAAATACTAAGGACGTGAAGGATATAATGTAAAAATAAAAGAAAAAATGTTGTGACAAAATATATATATATATTTTGTGAAGTTCAAGAAAAAGATCAAACTATCAATTTTTGAAAGGATAATTGGTGTTCTATGTATCGGGCTTGTATCGACCGTTATTCCTAATAGTGATGATGTATTTTGTGGTTATACATTGAAGTTCTTCTACTATATATCTTGTTTTAAATCTTGTGGGTAGAATTAATTCCCACTTATTAGGTGTTTTCTGCTTCATTGATTAATATTGAAATTTCATCTAATTGATTGTCTTTTTTTCTGATGGTCCAGATTGTTTTACTCATTTGGATGATAAGGCAAAAAGTCAAGGTATGCCAGAATTGTGATACTATTTTTCCTCTACTTTCTCAAAATTAATTTTCAAAAACTCATCAATCTAATCCTACCTAACCTATATGATTTTAGTTGGGTCTAAAAAATGAAAAAGTTTATGGATTGAGTTGGTTCATGAATTTTCCTCACATTAGATTGAGTTAAATCTAATCTGCCCAAATTTATTGTTAATTTTAAAATTATACATTTTTAGCTACCATACAATTATACATACATATTTTTTATTTGATTTCATAATTATTTTTCAACCTTCACTCTTTGGAGGGTAACTTTTCAAAATATATGTTACAATTGAGTTGTCTATCTTAATTAAATGTTTGAAAATAAATAAATAGTTGTTTGATGAACTGACATTTTACTTTCATGAAAAACAAAAATTTGAATAAATAACTTAAACAATATTTAGATTCAATATTTAATAAAGGTCGTTTGGATTGAAAAATTTATGTCTAAACAAAATGTCTCAATTATGAATACCCCTCATTTTCGTGCTAGGGAAGGTGATGGATTGACTGTTTATCTGAAGAACATCTCCTAACATTAATTTTGGTATATATACCTGTTTTTTTTCTCTCTTTTTGCAGCCAAGCCTTTGGTTATTTCCAAATTTGGAGCCAGTGGAGACTTTCCTGCTTGCACAGACTTGGCGTATTCCAAGGCTATATCAGATGGTGTAGAAGTGCTCGACTGTCCTGTTCAAATGACAAAAGATGGGACACCATTTTGCATGAGCTCAATCAATCTTATTTACAGCACAAAAATATCTCAAACACCATTCATTAATCGTTCAAAAACAATTCCCGCCATTAGTTCTGAGAATGGAATCTTTGCTTTTGACTTAACATGGGAAGAGATTCAAGGCCTCACCCGTAAGTGGAGTTGGTTCTCATTCTTAGATTCTTGTTTGAGCTAAGCATGTCTTCGTTTTTCATGATGATTTCCTGGACTGACTAGAATAATATGTTCATGTTCTTGATGAGTTCCTTTTTACCTAAGTTTCAAGTCATAAATTCGTTCAATGTTCTATCATCTCATAGGAATTGAGTGTGGATCATCTGATAGCTTTTGCGTTTGCTTGAAATGCTTATGTGTTGCAAGAACTGATATATGCTAATGTTGCAGCTTCAATATCGAACCCTTTTTCAAATTTCACGTTGTTTCGAAACCCGAGGTTCCGAAACAGTGGGAAATTCTTAACGCTACCAGATTTCTTGGCCTTGGCAAAGAATGGGAGCTCTCTTTCCGGTGTCTTGATCCATATTGAGGTTAGAAGTCCTTTTTTTTTTTTTTTTTTTTTTTTTTTTTTTTTTTTTTTTTTTTTTTTTTTTTTTTTTT